GATTCTAGTAAAAACTATACCATTTGATGCAGAATCGGATGTTGGGGAGGGTTATATGGTTGTTTTTGATTTTCTTTGCTTTTATCCTAGTCCGAACTTCGATTTTTGTAAAAAGGGTGAAATTCCGTAACAAATGAAATTCCGTAACGAACAGTATTTTTAGTTTTCTATTCAATGCAGTTAGGTTTGTTAAAAAATAACTTGATATTCTAAAAGCTTATGGAACACTGAGCAACTTTTATATAGAACGTTTGTTTGCATGTTGCTTCATTTCGTAGCAAACTGCTAAACTTTCAGCTCACTCTAAAAAAAATTTCCATTTTTTGAAATTTCGTAACGGTCAATGTTTTTTGAATAACTCGGATTTGACCAAACAAAAATGAACGAAATTTTTACTGACAGTAGGCCATCATAGTCTCCATCTATGGTAAAAATTTCAGAGAGTTTGCTTTCATCTACGAGGAGATATAGTTGTTACAATGTAAAAAAATGAAATTCCGTAACACTGGTTTTGTCCAGCTACTAATTATTCTCGTGTGAGACTTGATATTTAATAAAAAGAATGCACTAAACATTCGTATTTATACTTATATCTAACATTTCTCGTCCTTAAGAAGATTGTTAGCGATTTGCCGGCTCTCTCGAAGTTATCTCTTTGCAATACTATGAAAAGTTTTGTTGCCACATATTTTTCTTTTATTTATATAAATAAGCAACAGCATATTGACTATGATGTGCGTCTAAAATAGATGAACGATCAAGTTCTTGCGCTATTGATGTTGGTATAGTACTATTAAAAGATGAATTTTGTAATGTATCATAGATTGTTCGTGTTAAAGTTTTTAAATAACGACGTTGATTTTTATGATATTGATAAATTAAAAAACCAATTATGGATGTAAATAAACCTATCATTGCAATCTAAGAGGAATATTATAGTAAAAATAGACTGTAAAAATTTCAATTAAATAACTTACAATAACAATTAAAATGATTAATAAACTAGATGATGATGGTTTTGAAGGTGCCGATGCTATAAAAATCAAATGATTTTAATAATATAATTTGAGAAAAAAATTCATAATTATCATTAGAAATTAAACTCTCTAACTAATATATTTTTCTTTAAAATTTTTTATTCATATCAAAGTAGGAAATATATTATTATTATTTACATGAAAGTATTTGTGATTGAGTAACATAATTAGATATTGTGCTGGAAGACAGTTTTATTAACAAAAATAATATCAAATAAAGAAAAATCATACTGATAAGCGCGCATATATTCAAAAGATTCTCTTTTTGATAATTTATAAACTTTCATTTGATTATAAAACAAAGATATCATAAGGTACTATTAAATGTTTTTGTTGAGATGTTGAAATTTTTAAAGTTTTATTCGTTTATTATTTAAAGCGTCATTAAACGTTCTAGATGCTTAAAAGAACTATTCCAGTTTGAAAATGGGTAAATCCTACATTGGTCGAAAAGACAAATGTCGTATGTTAGTTTAGACTACCCCATCATTTATAAGAACCGATGGTTGTGCTTATTAAATTAATTGAGAAGAAAATCGTTTGAAAATATATTTTATTTATAAAAATTTATCTCGTAACTGGACTGATTTAGCCTTTGTGGCTAGTATAGGTGGCTTATAGACGCATCAATATTATCAAAGTGCATTGAAAACAACTCAGTTCTGTCAATTTTAACAGACTTCAAAAACAATAACTTTTTTTTTGATACAATACATCGTGATATAACACTTTCCAAAAAAAAAAGACCGGCTGTAGTTTGTCGGTAATTTTCACATGGGTATGCTGAAGTGTAAAAAAAAATCGAAAGATAAAAATGTCAAAACAATACAAATTATTATTTAGTTGATGATAAAGACTTCAATATAGTTATTTCATTTATACAATTATATTCATAAGAAAAAAACAAGTATTTTGTATTGAAAAACGGGAAGAATCTTAATGAAAAAAATTAACTTGAATCATGTGTATTCTTCATATCTATGTTTTTTTTCAAGGCTGTGAGTATGAGCAGATGGAGCGAATGGCTTGTAACTCTGATTATTAAGGTCTGTAATGTGAAGATGGAGGTGCAAAACTTTAACTTAATATTTAGACTTATTATCCTTGCTTGAAAATATTCTTGAGTTCCATCAGATCATTTTTGTTATCAAGATAATAGAGGATAATAGTCGATCATAAAATCTTTTGACAGTCTTTAAAAGTTCTGTGAAATTTTGAAGTCAACTGTTTCTCTCTTTATGTTATTATAATATTTTTGTACTAGTCTGTTTGATTGAATATGAATATATATTGGACATCATGCAATAAAATCAACACATGCTTTTAAAATAGACTTTACCAAAGAAATATAATACTATCATAAACTAAACACTTTAGAGAATGTTTAAAACTCCTTCATTTTTTTATTACCGATTTATCTTGAGATTATACATACTGAAATTAAAAACGAAAGACAATTATTTTGTTGTTAATAGAACTAGCATTACAGTTATTCTTCAAATAACTAATGTCTTGAGGATTTATTCAGATTACGCCGACTCCCGTTTCTCTTTTCACTCTTATTCATCTGTAGTAGTACTACATAAACATGTGTGTAATCTGTAGAACAATTCAAAACAGAACATCAAACGATTGATTTATGGATTCGCGAAAATATATTTCTCAGCATGATAATAAAGCAGAATATTAATAGACATAAGTGAAATACAATGTAAAATGTTATCTTTTTCGATAATTGGATTGGTTAAATTGAATAAATACGCTAGAGAACGTTAGTAGTCTTCCATATGATGAAGTTAATATCTATGTAGATAAACATATTCTTTTCATACGTGTGACAAGATAAAGAAAACAGAAGATGACTACAGTGAAAATAACTGAAAGTTTGTTTGGTATCACAAAAAATCAAAATGAAATAAAAAAGTAGATAAAAATACAAAAAATTTAATTTCAATGATTTTTTTTTGCTATAAACAATATATATATATTTAGATATACACTTTCAACATCAGATGGTTTTGAAGTTGCTTTAATTAATTATGGTGCAATTATTCAATCCATTCGACAACCTGATAAACACAATCAAATTACGGAAATTACACTTGGTTATGATAATCTTCAAGGTAAAACATAATCAAAAAAGAAAATTAATAAATAATTTCTATAATTTAATTGTTTATTTTTCATAATTATAGAATATGTTGATGATAAATATTTTTTTGGTTGTACAGTTGGTCGAGTAACAAATCGTATAAAAAATGGTCGTTTTGAATTAGATGGAACTACTTATGAATTACCAAAAAATGATTCAACAAAAAAACATTATATACATGGTGTTTTTAATAAACGTGTATGGGATAGTTCAACAGAAAATGGTGATACTGTTGTTTTTAAATATCAAAGTCCAGATGGTAAATATTATTGTTTTTTTTTTTTCATTTGAAAAAAAAATGATTTTGTTTTTTTTCTTCTTCGAAAAACAAAACAGGTGAAAATGGATTTCCTGGTCAGGTTGACGTCACTGTCAAATATATACTAACAAATGATTATCGATTAACACTTGATTTTCATGCAACAACAACAAAACCAACACCCATAAATATGACAAATCATATTTATTTTAATCTTGCCGGAGATGTAAATATTAATAATCATTATATGTTTAATACAGGGTGTTCCGAAAGTCCGGACCAATAAGAATATTGAATATCTCCACCGCTCTTTCATCAAATGAGCTAATTTTTGCCTTGGTGGTGGAGGATTCTTGGAAGTTTTTTTCATAAGAAAACCATGAATACATACTGCTTTGAACTATCACTTTTAACTTCAATATCGAAATGTATCCATTTTCGACTTTTCAAAAAATGGTTTCGAGCGAGAATCCCCGGGATGATTAATTTTAAGCTGAAACTTTGGCCAAAGCAAGGTCTCACTCAGAATAGATTCGGCACAACATTTCAGAATTTTCCGNAGCCAGGGAGATGATGTTTAAGAAATACTTGCAGAAAGTGGGGAAAAACGCCAAGGCCATGGCCGGCGGGGGGTGCGGGGGGGGGTTGGAAAAGAGGAAATTCTACCTTTGACATTTCAATACACTTCTTAGATCTTGTTTCACATAAAGCTACAAGCATGACATTAAATAAAAACGTGTAAAAATTGCTAAAAATCAAATAAAACGGCTCGTGTTTTTTTTTCTCGTTGCTTCTTAATACGACTTATTCACTGTTTTAGGAAGATCATAGAAAATGTGACAATCGTTCATTCTGTTCAGAGTTTTCTGTTCTTTAGACGTGACACAACACTTCCGCGCATGACATTTCCGCAGCGACATTTACAGGCAAAATGAATTTCTTCTGCTCTGTGCACGCTCAGTAATTCATTCTCTCAAATTTTGATTAACTGTTCTGGTCTCAGGATGTGGGTGTTGATGTGTGAGGATGATCACCATTGAAGTGAAGAGAAGATACTGACGTACAACCACCCCATGCTCACAATTGTAGCATCCGTGATCACTCTCGCAGCTAAGTTAGCATAATCAGAACAAAAACAAAATATTCTGCGCATAAGTATCGTGCGCGGACATATCAGTGAATTTTCTTTAAGATGATATTAATAAAGAAATAATTTCTGTAAAGTCGGCAGAAAACTAAAAACTACTGTTTTCCTTTTTTTGAGCAACCTTTTAATAATAGCTTATGGATCAAAATTTTAATAAACAAAGTGCCTCAAAAGTTTCCAGGTTAAAGCTTACGTAAATATCTCGTATATACAATTCGAGCGATTTAATTGCTTTTTATATAATATTGATAGTATTTTTTTAAAATTTTTATTTCATATAATTTGATTTACAACATACTTTCAAAATAATTATTATCAACGAAAATATATATAAAACAATTGTTTTAGAAATCTTTAAAAAATTCTACAGAAAGTTTATTTTCCCGAATTAATTTATTTTCGTTATCGATTCTTATTTTAAATTCAACTAAGTCTTTATACATGTCTTATACATAGAGTTTTTCACTTCATATTTCTCAATCAACCATTTAAATTGCAACTAGATTTTATCCGAAAAAGAAAAACGAATGGTTCTAATTGTTCATATTGTCTAACATTAGTATTAATGTGATATCATTTCAACTCGATATTGTCTATGTTCTTCATAATATTGTTGGATAATTTGTATTACATTATATGACTTCATTGAAAAATATGCAATCATAATTCTGTCTGCTATTATTCGTTCGATGTAGTCGATTGTTGCTACAATTCGAACACTCGATATTGGTACATTTTCACAAGTGTTATGAATTTTCATCAATTTTTTGCTTGTGTAATTTTGAAAAATCTTTTAGATTGTTAAATCTATTTACTACTATACTGATTTCGTAAAAATATTGAAATACATCTCTCATAGAATCAATGTCTAACATTTGTATATCAAATATCACGTGTATTTTTCCATTTCATTATAATAGGTGACTGAAATTTGATCATTAACAAAATTACTTCTATTTTAATGTTAATAAACACAGACATTTGCTGAAAATTATACCGAACAAAAATTCAAAGAAAATACCATAATCTTATTTAATATATACATGAATTGCTTAAACTACATTAAAAATATTTACGTAAATTTTTCCGGCTAACTTTTGGAATATCCTCTACAATGCATTTAATACGCAACATGATAGACTATTCAAAAAAAATGTGCAATATGACGTTCTAAACAAAGAAATCTAAAATATTTAATTCTAATAATTTTTTGCAGCACTATAATGAGCTATTTGGGATAAATCATGATAGAAATTTGACTGTAAAATATACCTTTAAAATAATTACTTATTAAAAGTTCTCTCCATTCTATATTGCTTTTTTATTTGCTGTGCTCAATGCTCATTTGCATTATAAATCATAAAACTAATATAATTTATCGATTCATTCATCTTATAAAAACGTGCAAAAACAAAACGTGTTTATGCGAATTAATAATCCTTATGTATGCATCACAAATTTTTTTTTTTTATAAGTTTTCTGTCATTTAATATATTAAGTTTACTTATTACACTGCATATAGGGAAATCATTTTCTTTATCAATAGTATACAAAAAAAAAAAAAACACTGAGTCTATGGTGTCATGGTCCTCGACATTATCTCAAGTGTTATGCCAGAACACACTTGACGTCATTACTTCTATCATTGAAACGAAATCAGAAAATGTTCTCTATACACACTTAGGCACAAATGATATGACTCTATATATATATAATTTCAAAAAATGTCTGTCTGGTGTAATATGAGTCCTCATATTCTTCTTTTTCTTTCATTCTTCGATTCACCTTCTTCTCTTTCTCATATATTGTATTATTGTCATCCTATATTCATATATAAATATTATATATGAATCCTGACACGCAAAGAATTAAACATCAATACGAATTTTTGATATTCTTTGAAGTAAGCATATTAATCAGTGTACATATTTACTTTTGGACAGTAGTGAACATTATGTAGGATGTCGTAGAATGTTGAGAGATCGATAAAATTGATGAGAAAAAAAAAAAACGTTTGTTTTTTTTATGTTATTTTTCTGTTTCTTTCTGCTTCATTAACTCTGTGATTATTGAATAAATTTCAAGTATCCCATTGAGACCAAATCATCAACAAGAGTTTACCTTTTGTGTTTGTCTTATTTGAGAAGTTAACAATCAATGAAATATATGAGAATAAAACGTTATTACGTATACGTTCTATAGATTTGACTTATCATATCATTCATAATCTATTCGATTATTATAATACGTCAACATTTGAAAAGACGAATGTTGAATAAGTATTAGCATTGAACGATATATTATTATATTAGTAAAACATAAGATATTTACTTCTATCATTTTGTGAATTATTAAGAACTTGTCAAGATATTCTTCTTTAATCCTATTTTTTTCTTACGTTCTTTTTTTCTCTTATATATTCCTTGAGGACAAACTTTATGAGGCATGCACAGCATAGTAGTATGTCAGAAAAAAGCGAGAAAAAAATTGAGCTACGACAGAAATGTTAGTTTTAACGCATCAGACCGATAGTTAACAGTCGAGGAAAAAAAAAAAGAAAGCTCGATGGATTGTTTCATTTTATGTGTTTGCGTGTGCATCTATATCTTGCTTTCTTTATTCATTCTTAACGTATAAAGAGGAAAACCTTCATGCTTATCAAATTGTCATATATGTTTTTTTTTTTTATTGTTGCCTTTTTGTTTTTCATAGATAAGTGAGTGATAATCTCAAACCTATAAAATTGATTCTTTTGAAATATTATTTTTAAAAGTAAATCATGATTATTTATCATCGACAAGATCATATGTATCTATTATGTATTATATGTAGTTGTCTTATGTTTCTTACAAGTATTGTTAATATAATTTATATTGTTCAACGTTCATTATCAAATAAAACAAATCAATATACACAAACATCTATATCATTTATTCAACAAACTAATAGAACTAATAATTCAGAAAAAATATTTCGAAAAAAATATGATTATTTTGAAGAAACATATAAAACATTTATGCATTCATCTATACATAATTATTTTTCTAGAGTAGAAACTCGAAATTTATCATTAAACTATTGTCCACCTGTACCACCTAGCCTTCAAGGTCCTTTAACAATTCAAGAAATACCAGAAAATTTTTCTATTACTACTAATTCATCATATCATAGCGATGTTCAATTTGGTGGTTATTATCAACCAAAAACTTGCTTAGCTCGTCATAAAGTAGCTATTATTGTACCGTACCGTGATCGTTGGGATATTCTAAATCATTTTCTTTTTCATACACATAAAATTTTACAACGACAACAATTAGATTATCGAATATATGTATGTGAGCAAGCATTTAATAAAACTTTCAATAAAGGTATTGTTATGAATGGTTGTTTTAAAGAAATTTTAAAACTTGAACCAAATACACCTTGTTTTATAATGCACGATGTAGATTTATTATTAATTGATGATCGAAATATGTATACATGTCCAAGATATCCACGTCATTTAAGTGTTGCTATTGATAAATTTCAATTTTATTTACCTTATGCACAACTTGTTGGAGGTGTCTTAGGTAAGCAGAGTTTATCTAACTTATATTTTTAATGATAGAATATTTACTAATTATATATTACCGAGTCATATTTACAATAGATACAATAGATTCTTTTCTTTTCATTTTCAATATAAAAGTTTAATCAATTTATGTTTTTATAAATAAAATAAAGAAAGCATTCAATGTCGTTTATAATTTTAAATTGTATGAATATAAGATATATACGGATAGAAAATTAAATACGAAAAAAATATTGAAATAAAACTTCAATGACTTGAACAAGTTTCACTATAATTTGTATTATTATAAGTCTAATATATTAAGTTTCTTTTATATCTGGGTGATTCCACGGGATTTATACCACTTTTTGAAAATGGCCTTGGATTTTTATTTTCGTCTTCTAATTAGTCCGAAGACAGTCTGAAAAGTATGCAGCAAAAAAAAATTACGAACTTGTCCAATGAATAGTGAGCACCCGTGGATAACACGAGATACATGGACAATTTTTTTTATAGTGAGACTTTGTTCCATATATATGAGCTAGTCCGTACAAACCACGACCGATCTTACTCCATCGAGGTCGTCAGG